AGACATACTCGCCATATTATAAAAATAACCATGCTACACAGTAAAACCAGATTATATTAAAATTTGTTATTTTACATAGTAATTTTTACTTTGTGCAGAAATAATTTTTATATTAAAGTTAAATAAATACGTACACATATATGTTGTACATGAAATATATATATGTAACTAACAGAACATTAAAATTAATAGTTTTTTTGTGTATAGATATTTTTTTCCTTTTAGAATACAGATACATACTGAAGTGTTTTAAAAATATTTTATTTTAAAAGAGATCTGCAGTGACTGGGAATTAACCCTTCGTCTTTTGTAGATTTTCTGTAGACAACACTGTTAACAACAAATAATCAGTCGATTTCAAATTAATTGTCTGCAGGTATCCGTTTTTAATCGTTATAAATTAAAAAATATGTTTTTTGTCATGATTACATTAATTCAGCCTTAAATTTGAAAATCAATAGGCGTGCATACCTATATATGTTGTACAAACTTACTTTTGATCATAGTAATTTTTACTATACTGAATGGCAATGCAGTGAATGAGAAATTTTACTATGTCCCTTAGCAAATTCTTCTTTAGAATTTGGTACGTTTTAAAACAATTACAATAAAATTTACTATGTTGTGTAGCAAAAATTGTACTATCACAATTCTAACTACGTTAGACATAGTAATTTTTGTTATACATTATATACCATGTAATTATTTTTGTACGGCTGCTACACAAAAATAATGACTTTAAATGTAATAAAAATTATTTAAACGTAACCATTGGCGTCGTAAAGTAAGTAAGAGTGGAATAAAATGTTTTGTATGTGTATTAAGTATGGGTGACATAATGCATTTTATGTCACAACAAAGGGGCGAATAAAACTGATAAATGTAAATTATTTCAATTGCCTCTAACTAAATTTGTGGTGGGCACAACTGTAGCCTACCTCAGCTTACATTCGTAAGTATACACAATTACTTTTTTTTTAAATAACTTTTTGAAATGTTTGGAGCGATAATAAACTTAATACATGAGAAAATTTAAGATTCACATCACTGTACCCTACTTATTCGAGACGAAATTATGTTCTTTACGAATGGAAAATGATACTCTTTCGATGTTATAAAACAAAATAATCATTAGAGTCCGGGTAAAAAGCACACTTTTCAATAAATGTTTGTGTACATTTTTTAAAAGTGAAAAAAGGTATGAGCTATCTTATATCATGTGCATTTTGGAATGGTCATCGATAAGTAAAGTAAAGTCCTTGTAAAGGGAAATTGCAACACTTGTTAATTAAACGGTGAGATTGAGAGGGAAAACTTTCTATTATTTAATATTCTAGACAAAACTTTATTACAATTTTTTAAAGTATCATAAAGCAATAAACACTAATCGAAAATTTCAATTGCAGCGTAATGCTTTTCATATTTGCGCTGCCAGTGATGCAAGTAATATTGTTCTGCTTGGCAATCGGAAGAGATCCCACAGGTCTCAAACTTGCAGTCGTTAATAGTGAAATGTTCTGGAACAACAAGAGTTGCCCAGTCTACGATAATTGCACTACTAGCTTTCTCAGTTGTCGGTATCTAAAGTATCTCGACAACGATACGATAATAAAGGTGAGTCTTGAACTCTTCTCTTATTAGTACTGACTTTCCCTTCACTGTAACTCTATTATTAAAATGAATTGTTCAAACTTTGCATGCGAAAGTCTTTCTTACTCACGTGACTTTCGAAAGCTGTTAAAAAAGTATTCGTAATTGAGGTGGTTCCCTCGACTACGAACTTTAGTTACGAAAGTTATGAAACGTACATGTATGTCAATTCGTTAGGTGCTCAGAAACACGCCAGAATTTTTTTTAATACTTTTTGTCTGTTTGATTGTTTCTTAAAAAAAAAAAAAAAAAAGAAAATTCATAAGGTTCATCCACTTGTAAATAAACATACTAACGAAAATTCAAATGAATAATTGGCTATTCTATACTAATCCTTATAAGGATTTTTTGTCAATTTAGACGCTATAACGTGCCTTTCCTTTAAATGTTTTCTCAATTTTTTTTGCTGTTGCATATTAAAACTTAAAATTTTGTTGACCAACTTTTAAGGCTTACTGGAATAATGTAAAAAAAATTCAGTTTTGGCAAATTCGTAGTATATCTTTGCTGATAAGAGACTTAGGAAATTTTCATTTAGCTTAGAATTCTTTTGCATGACGGAAAAAATTTCTTATCACCGGATATAGTTTGGACAACTATACCGAATATCAAAGGAATCCTTGTCTCACTGGAAAGTCACCATAGAATATACACACTACTTTTCACGTTGTTACGAGTAATTATATGTAACTTTGATATGACATAAGTAATTATAAAAGAACCGGAGCGTCGTTTACTTACCTTTGCTGCCATGTATTAGAAAGAATCCATGAGCTAATGAAAGGCACATATCATATTTCTATACGTACGTGTTTGCCCTTGATAGGAGTACTACCCGGACCCAGAGTCAGCCAAGGAAGCCGTGCGGAGAGGTAAAGCCTGGGGAACTTTATATTTCACGGAGAATTTCACCGACAGTTTGGTAGCTCGAATGCTGCTTGGCAAGGACACGGATATGGATTCCCTCGATCAGAGCGAGATTCGAGTCTGGCTTGACATGTCTAGTAAGTTAAATGTGGGAAAATGATTTATTATCTTTCCGACCCCTCTCTCTCTTTCTCTCGTTGGCTTTAACATTCCACCAGAGTCTGTAGCCATGGAATAAACAATTCTCAATTAAAAAAAAAAAAAACAAAAAACCGTTTCTAACTATTATGCGTTGTCTCTTAAAACTACCAGATCAGCAGATCGGATTGATGCTGGCACGGAATATACAGTACTCGTACAGAGACTTTGCCAAGGATCTGTTAACATCATGCAACGAAAATTCAAAACTAGCAGATGTACCTATTCAGTTCAAAAAACCCATTTACGGATCGAACGAGCCCAGCTTCACAGATTTCGTGGCACCTGGAGTCATTTTAACGTAAGATTTGAATAATATGTTTATTTAAATTAATAAATAATGAAATCTTACTATAAACAACATCCAGCAAATAATGAAACTCCAAAATCCAGGATTGTATTCTTCTTGGCTGTGGCGTTAACGTCATCCGCCCTAATCATAGAGAGAATGGAGGGTCTATTGGACCGAAGTTGGGTGGCAGGCGTCTCGCCAGGCGAGATCCTCTTCTCACATGTAGTCACCCAGTTTGTCGTGATGTGTGGACAGACGGCACTAGTTCTTATTTTCATGATCCTCGTCTTTGGCGTCGAGTGCAAGGGTGATATTGGCTTCGTAATTGTACTAACGATACTTCAGGGTCTGTGTGGAATGTGCTTCGGTGAGTAGACGCTTTTAATTTACTCTTCAAACAAATACCAATTTTTAATATAGATATTATTGATTTGGTTATAACTATACGTGCATTATTGTTAACTGTGTATTGTGGCGATTTCTCAATTACGCTAACAAAATTTAGTTACCAACTGATTTTTTCGTTGCAGGATTCGTGATTTCAGCAATTTGTGAGCTTGAAAGAAATGCCATTCAGCTAGCATTAGGAAGTTTCTATCCAACTCTCTTACTAAGCGGTAAGCACACATTATATTTTATAACACCGTATGTTTAACGGTCCATTGAAATACGTAAGTGCTATCTAAAGACATTTTTTAAACGAAATGATGAATTGAAATGAAAATCCAGGTGTGATTTGGCCAGTCGAAGGAATGCCAACGATCCTACGATACGTATCGCATGGTCTACCACTGACAATGGCGACAACCTCACTTCGTTCAATGTTAACCCGAGGTTGGAGCATTACGGAGCCAGACGTCTACATGGGCTATGTATCAACGATCATCTGGATCATCGTGTTCCTCACGGTGAGCCTGCTTGTGCTCAAGTTCAAGCGTGGCTAAGCAACAGGGGTAACTACGGAAAAAATAAACCTGGTCAAAATGAGCGTTGTCATTCAACTACACATAACTATACAGTTTAAAACATCAAATTGCTCCTTCTCTCTTTGTTTTTCGCTTTGATTTAGTTTTTTTTAATTTTTTTTACTCTTTTTTTTTTCTTAATTCAAAATGGCAGTAAAACTGCACCCTTTAAGTAATTAAGAATTTTTACAAGAGGGAAAGAGAAAAAAGTCGTCTGAAGAAAAATATGATTTTTAGAGACTCAGAGATGCGCAAAAGATGTGTGTACCTGTTACTCGCGCGCCTTTGTCATTATTTTTATGTTTTAATTATTGTTGGTTTTTGTCTTTGAAAAAATATATCGAACATCGTCGTCAAGTGGGAAAATTAAAACGAGATGTCATAGCTTTGTCCCTCGCATCGGACGAATGACAGAAGTGTAGGACCTGTATTTTTCCAAGTATGAAAAAGGATACGAGGTAAATGTTGTACCTTTCTGTCCTCTGCTATTCATTTTGTGGTCTATATATATATAAATACGGAGTAAAGAATTTTTATCATCGTGTATATTACACTTAGTGCTTGAACTTTTTCTAAAATATCTACGAATGTACTTTGTGTTACCTGCATGCGGGTCTGTGTACGTGTCAATGTAAAAAGTTAATGATATTTCTTTTCCCATGCTGAGCCTTATCTTTTACAACTTGACGAAGATTTAGAAAAAATTACTTGATTTTTACTCGAGCCGCTGTTGGACAAATTTGTTTTTATGGTTCATGCCTTGGAAAGTAAAAGATTTTAAAAAATCTAAAGGAAAAACTCAAGTGCCAATAAAACTCAACTGTCAATAAGAAATTAGTGTAAAATATTTTAAATGCTTACGCAAGGCCCAATATTATTACGGGAAATTAAGAATCAGCAGTTTCTTTCGGAGTAGCTTATTTGGATCAAGAATATTTAGGACGTGGCCGGATAAAATTAATGTTTTGAAAATGGTGCTACCTACTGAATATATATTCTCAGTTGTAAGGAAAAGATTATAAATATGAAAAGAAAGCTAGAATAATCACTTATCCATACTTTGCTATAATCGAACAACCACGACTATTTACAATCCACTAATGCTCATAACTAATACCACCCTGCCTTACCAGCAAATTATAAAGTCAGGTATGAATCATTTGTCGGGGAGTCAGAATTAGAAAACCAGGATAGCACAGACTCTAAATGAAATTTACTGAAACCATGTTTTCATGCTATTTTGACAATTATAGTATTTTTTGAGCACATTGTTGGCACTGCACACTGTCAATGTGTAATCTTATCGACCGTTTTTTTGTTCAATTCTTGAAAAAATCAGCGCAATCACATGAATTTTATTGCAAGTCTTTAAATGACCAGTTTACAAAGTTAAGATACAAGGAAATGGTTTTTTGTTGATTAAAAAAAAAAAGTAGAACTTTCGGTGTATTTAAAGATTATGTCCATACGTACTGATTAATTAAGAATTTGATATTAGTTTACCATATTTTTTTTGACAATCAGATTGAGCACATTTTGTTCACAATACTAATACTTACCAGTGTTATACCCCAATTAAGTTTAACAAATATAATTAACACTCACTTTTTTTTGCTTTTTGTTTTTCACCTTTTGTAACTTTGACGTATGGTTTTGATAAGGAAAATAATTTTCAACTATTACAATGCTCACACTCTACTAAAAATTATCAATTGAACATCTTTTATTAAAACCTTTTTTCTCCAAACTAATTTCTTTGTGAAATATAGTGAAGTAACTGAAAAATTCACGGTTTCAGTAAAAAGTAGCTTATTTTATCACAAAAACCATGGCACGTTCCTTACTTATTCTTACTTTATTATTGTTTAAAAATTTTCTTGTTAGCTTTGTTTTGTCAAAGTTTGTTCAGAGTCCGATAAAAATCCCTGGCTTCTCAAGTGCATTAAGATCTTTACTTAGACCTGACTCTATTGTTGTCACCTAAGGGGTTATTTAAGGTAGAGAGCAGAAGCTAGAAAGGCAAAGCACAAGGCTGAAATGGCAAGTCTAGCTCTGGATTGTATATATACTTACGAAAGCGCTAAGTACAAGGGCATTTGGACTTAGTTTCTTTTACATTTCTGTAAATACAGATATACAGAAAAATGTTATTTCTGCGATTTTTTTACATCATGAGAACTAGTAAAACTCGCAAAATTAAATTTGAGATCCTGGAAAGTTTTTAAGTCTATTTATAAACAAGCATATGTTTTTTGTAGATTTTTTACTGTAGTTAATGCATTCAAATGAAAAAAATTAGTTTAGCTCGTTTGAATTATTCATAAATTATACACAACGATAAGTTTTACCAAATTTTCTCTTTCTCCTTCAGAAGTTCAAAAATTTACACACTATTTGTTTAGTCATTTTATTGTTGCAATAGTTCTCTTATATCACTTTACATTTCTATACTTGATCATATTGATTTATTGTGTACATGACAAATTATTTTGATTGAATGAAATGTTCGGAAAAATTTTATATTTTGCCTACTGAAATCTTGAAAAATTCGGAAATTAAAAATTCTTCCCATATTTGTAAAAATACTGGTTTGTGCTTTTCTGTCTTATGCTCTCTGTCGTGAATAACTACCTGCGGTCACGGTAGCAGCGGGTTTCAGGTTGCGGTTTATATAACTTTGGGGGTGCGGTAAGCTTACGAGTTCGAGATCCGGCCTTTACTCACTTGGCTAGCACCTCTGGGAAACTAATTTCTCAAGTGCACATTTACAACTGTGATCTGGTAGTTCGGAAGCCATATAAAACAAGAAGTCCTCATTGATATAAAAGTTGCGTTGATTTACAATAAGCCTGAGGTGGTTTTTTAATATGCCAATGACGATAGCAATACATATAGAGTAACACTGCAATGCAGAGTCACTATACCCACAGTTTATCAGAATAGTTGTAAATTAATGATGAACATCATAGCCATCAATGCAGCATAATTTTTTGAGAGCATGCACTACTTTGAGAGAGATATTAACTATTAAAACATTCAAATATTCAAGTGGTAAAAAATGAAGTATACATAACCACATTAAAAATATTTTGATTTCAAGTTGTGTACTTATAAACGGTTTTACATCATATCGACGCCTCGTACGAAGTCTATCCTTGTTCAGATTTTCCAATGTTAATTTAAATGAGAAAATGTAAATAAAGCTAGACTTCGTACGAGGCGTCGATGTACAGATGCATTTACAGATGCACTTTTTTCTTCAAACTAACAGAACTCATTATTTCACCGTAAGCTCCAAAAGATGGAACTTTCAATCCGCTTTGTCGAACTTTAATTTCGTCTTCCGGTGCAGGATTGGTGAAAAATCGTACACAGCCCAAGGGAGGAAACAAAAAATTCCTCAGGTGGCATGCTTATCAATCTGAGACATTCTTTAATTTTCTACCCTAGGTGAGTAATGTACTATTTCTTTACTCTTAGACAAATCATTGTTAGCAGATGGCGAAATATGTATGGCTTAGATGGTCAATGTACGCCATAGTCGTATACAGAGAAAAGAAATTTCACATTTTATTGCATTTTAACTAAATTTTGTTAATAATTGCGTGACAACATTAACGTATTTTTTGTTTCATGTCAAGCAATTAGTAAGTTAATAATCAACTTCATTTACTGTTGAGACTAAGTAAAAATCGATACTATTGCAGCTTGCCACAAAAAAAGAAAGGTTTTGTATGAGCATTATGGATTTTCGTGTGACGTTAATGGGTCTCCCTATGTATATACGATATGAGTCCTAGCAAATGAAAGTTTTATGAAAATTTAATGCTATTTAGGACTGGGGATGCATAAAACAGAAGGAAACGTAATAAAACAGTGGGCTTACACAAATTTGAACTGCTGGTTTTCTTAAAATGCTCAATAAATTATAAGCAATTCACTAGACTACTAATTGTGATTGCTTAAATCAATCATGATTTAATTTTTTTATTCTAGATAACTAAAGAAATTTTTTTCTAACAATAAATTTTTGAGATTGCTGTTGAAAATGTATTTTTTTAAAACACATAGTATTTTCTACAGCATCAATCTGGAGTAAATACACGTTAAAATTTTTCTCAGTCAATGATAAAATTTGATAATCTTTATCATACTGGTATCACCTTGGATACTTGTTTTCAAAAACCGTTTTTCGTCAGCCCCCATTGCTTGGACCGCATTTCCGGACAATGATTTAAATAAGTATTTGTGAGTGTATGTGTACGTATGTTTTAAAGTCATGTGTCCGATAAATTAAGTCGTCAAATGTTGTTTATTTTGTTAGTAAGAGGAATGGGAAGAATAAAGAGATTTACAATATTTTAGCTACTGTATTATATACGTATGCAAATAGTTTCATTCACAATGGTACGATCGAGATAGGTATTTTTGAGAAAAAATGTTAAAATTAGTAAGAAACTATACGAACTATGCAAACTATACTTAAAAGTTATAATGGTATTTAAGGATTGTAAATTGTTTCATTTTATTAAGGTATCTCACAACTTTAAAAAGAGATGATCGACCAATTTTGTGTACACGATATTTTATAAACTGTTGATATTTGTTATTATTCTAGTATATTTAAATGTCATCTTTGTCAGTTAAATGAAAATTTGCTTACAAATTTCATGATATTGAATTGAAATGAAGCAAAAAAACAAGCCCGATAATCGCAAGGCAACGAAAAATGATTATTCACCGTGTGATGCGCTTTAAAAGTACAAGACCTAAAGAAAGGTAGAGGCTGAGAGTACGTAGACAGCACCAAATATACAAGAATATATGGAAACGTTGCCTTAATTAATTATAAATGTGACGAATTTTTGTAAGTGAGTTAAGTGGATTAATTAATGATACATGAATGACAAGCATCTAGTAAAAATTTGCCTTGTCATTATTCACAGCTGAACATTTATAATGAATTTAAAAGAAAGAGTTAACATAAAAACTATTTTTGGTTGAGTCATGCACGACAACGTGACATGATAATTATAAAAAACAAAATATGTTTAAAATTTAAAAAAATATTAATTAATGACTTCCTTATGTTCCTGTACGTTTCTTGCTATCTGAAATGTTTTTTAAGGTGCTGCTTATTCAGTGTATCTTACTACAAACTAATCAATGTTTCGTAATGCCTACTGACATTTTACCTTTTTAACTGATTCTCCTTTAAATCAAAAATATTGTACAGTTCACAAAAGAAAAAGAAAAATTTCAAAACTGACGTAAGCAACATAATTTCTGTTTATGTCAATGCGAATTAAAAAAAAAACAAAAAACGAAAATAAAGTAATGTTAAAATAAATAAATTGTAATATAAACGATAAACACTCGAGCTGGGATGAAGGTAAACTTGTAATTAGTTTTTATTTTTTATAAGCTATTTTAGATGTTTTATGGTTAGCTCTAATATAATGTACTTTCCCATGACTTAAATATACGTCTAATAATTTAACTTGTAATGATTACAACAATCTTAAAAATTCAAACTACACTTTATTTATTTTACCTCCAAATTAATTTTTTTTTTAATTTTCTTTTAAGTTATATTTAGTGGTTCTGTGCAAAACTGACCTGTGGATCGATTTTTTGAATTTTTTTTCGCTGTACTAGTAAAGCTGCAAAATTTCCTGTACCTACAGTTTCAATTATTATGACAGTAGGTAAACTATTAGGAATATGCCTGTACCACATGACATGGTGATACATATATGACTACTAGAGGAAAAGTAGTACAGATGTTATGGGAGAAATTAAGTTTTTTTTTTTTTTTTTTTTTTTCGTGGTGAAAAAGGTGTTAAATACAAAAAGTTATTGGAATACAAATTATTAACACTGTGAGAGTAAGGTTGTTATTTTTTTTGATACGATGAAATCGTTTATTAAGGCAGTAAACAGCGTTTCGAAAGTACGAAGTACAGGTAACCCTACATTGAGCTACTCGTTTCTTCTGCTGCTGGTGTCGCTGTTGCCCCTACTCAGAGGTAAACAAGCCGCATGATATTAGGTTAAACTGCATTTCGCACCTTCAAAAAGATGTTTTCAGCATTAATAAACGATTTCATCATATAAAAAGAATAAGAACCTAACTCTTAAGATGTTAAATAAAATATATACTCCGGAAACTTTTTGTGTTGAACACCCTTCTCGAAAAAAAAAAAACTTAACTTCTCCCATAAGGTCTGTACTACTTTTCCTCTCATTATCATATATATATCGCCATGTCACGTGGTACAGGCATTTTCCCAATGGGGGTTCTGAGTCACCCCCAGCTCCCCCTGGTGTGAGGTGGTGGAAGAGCCCAAGAGCCGAAGAGACCAATCTGGTGGTGGGTGAGGAAGAGATGATGGTGAGGAAATTCGGCCAGCCCACGGTGGAGGAGCTTGTGCAGTGGTGAAGATCATTCGAGTGGTAACGTCAGGGCGCCTTGTGCTCCAGTTTCTGCCATGTCGAATGGTACCAAGAGACGAATCACTCCCTTTTTAACTGTGAATCATCAGCTCTCACGTCAGGATGACCAAAGTGATGTAGGCTATACTGACAAATTTAGCGTATATGAGAGAAAGATTTTACTTATTTCCTTATTACTGTACCGTAAAATTGTAATAAAAAAAATCATTATATTTCTGTAAATGAGAGATGTAAATTGTAATTTGCTCGTATCAAGAGTTCTCCAGAGTCAGTTTCAATAAAACATCGAAAGTGAATTTATCCTTAAGGGGGTTAGAGCGGTACAGCCAGTCTCAAAAGTTAATTAAAATTAAAAATTCGTGTATTTTATGACTATTCTTGATAAATCATGCGAGCTATTTCATATCGTACAGCAGAAGATTACTAACAAGTGAGAAAATAAAAAATTAATACTTCAAAATCAAATTTATGCTCCATGTTTTATTTTTTATCTGCTGTACATAGATATACCAAAAGCATTTTCGTAAAATTTTTAATTGAAGTATTTCTTAAACCGTGACGGCTTGCTTCCTCAAATTTGGATATGTTATTTTAATTGTTACATACAATTACATACTAGTTTTTTGAAAGAATTGTAAAAATATTTTCCAAGTTGTTGGTAAAAATGTACATGTCGCGACGACGTTCTAATAAGATTCTGTGTATAAGATACTAAGTTTGCTATTTTTTTTCTCAAAAACTGTGACGCTACGGTTCCTGAAATTTCAATATGTTGGTAACGTAATGAAAACAAACGCATTATAATTTTTCGAAGACTGTCGTAAGAAATTTGTTTTTCGCTCTAACCCCCTTAATTTAGCTGCAAGTTAAATCATTCATCTATAGTAAACAGACAGGCGTGCTGTTAAAGATACAAAATCCTGTCAACAGTGTAATTTTGGCCACAGGTATATTTACTTAGTTCACTCTCCCGTGTTTTCGTCTGTAGCAGAAAGCTGAACGCTAAAACAGCAGAAATTTAAATGTCCTACAACTAAACTTATTTTGCTTCATTCATATAACTCTAAATATCAATACCTAATAACCTTGTAAATATAAGGGCATAGCTGAAAAAGTCTTTTTTAGTTAAAAAACCCCAGCTTTGCTTATAATGCAATGATTTACAAAGACGAACGAAAATGATTGAATTTTTTAAGACTAGTTCCAAAAAATGTTAAGATCTTGGTTAACAAAGTACTATTATCTTCAAAAGCCAAGTATAAAATAATAAATTAAAATTTTCACACCTAAAAAATAATACACATTTATCAGACACAATCCAAATAATTTGGACGTCTGTATTTCAATCTTCAATTCATCGGATAAACCAAAATATAAAACACAGATTTCCACTCTACTTGAAGAGTAGCTAATACGTCAACGCTTGTGTAGTGACTTTTCACTGTTAAGGGGGCTCCTTCACGAAAGTCCCCAAACAGAGATATATTATTTCTTGTAAATAAAAGTCTACTAAATTTAATGGTGGTCTAAATTATATTTCGAATGGGTCAAAATTTTGAGAAATCCGAGCTCAAAGTTGTAACTATTAGCAAGTGTTCCTATGGGGCAGCGTGAAAAACAATTTGTTTTCGTTTATAATAAACCTAAATTAAATGTCCCAGCAGACTAAATATATACGTTTTGTAGATGAAGTCTTCCTCTGTAATATGATGTATTAAAAATTGTGGATAAAGGACCATTTTAGCGAGATATTTGTGATGGAAATAAATAAATAGTGTCCGGGAGGTCAGTAGCAGACGTACTTGTTCACGACATATATATACCATATACCTATATATTACATCGCTATACTGCACCAACACAGGTGGTCTGGTCTGGTGGTGTACCCTCGTATGCACTAGACTGGTCAAAACAATAATTAATTTTTCGTACAAAGTTAAACTACACACATAAATATCATTTTGCCCACTTCATACGTTATTAAAAATATCATAATGATTTTCAGACACATTTGTTTATTGAAAAACAAAACTTTATTTTTTGTTTGTCTTTGACCTCAGCAGTAGTCGTAGGAGCCCCCTTAAGTACCAGGTGCATAATGAAGATCACACTTCTGTCTGACTTGCAGAAGCAATTATTAATTATTTTTTGCAAAAACAGATCAAGTGTAGTGCAAATATCTGTATTAAATTTTGTTCCAACCGATAAATTAAATTTAGATGAATTTAAATATCAATTCCAGACATTTACAGTATTTAAAATCTGCCTTATAAGTAGATGTATACTGTTTTTCAGAGTTTATAGGTGTTAATTTATTGTTGTTATTATTATTATTATTATTATTATTATTATTATTCTTATTATTATTCACTTATCCCATCCGATAAATTGAATTTGAGTGACTCCAAACACTATCTACAGACTTTCACAATATTTAAAGTCTGCCTGATAAATTTATACTTACGTAGGGCTGAAGGAGTCTTCTGATTCGTCGAAACTTTTTGATTCGGCAATCTTACGCGTGAGGAAGCATCTTCTCCCTAGTTTCATGAAACTGAGAATTGAGCCTCATAGCCTCACTTTAGAATTTAAGAATCCATGTAGATTTCCACGTGGATTTTCTACGTAGACTTTCATGTGGGTTAAGTATAGATTCTTCATGAGTTTACATGAATTTCACGTGAAAATCTATGTGGATTTTCTACATAGAGTTCAATTGTCTGTATAGAAATTCACATGGATCTTTCAAGTAGTAATTTTTATGAATTTTCCGTAAGAAAACTACTTATGTAGAATAATAAGTACACCCATTCATTACAACTTTAAAAATGTTGAGTGCTAAGACAGTTGCACTCCGCATTATGTATTCCGTCCATTAAAATTTATATTAAATGTTCAATAAATATAGGTGGGCATGTTGACAATCCACTTATATTTAACGTAAATAGTTTATGTCAAGTCCCGCATAAACAATCTATGTGGAATTTAAAATAGCAAATCCATGTCAGTGGTCTCGTTAAACATCCATGCAGATTTCTACGTAGGAAATTTATGCAATACTAAACGAATAAAAATCACTAAATTTTCTGTAAGAAAACATAAAAATAACTCCGTGGAAAATCCATGTGGGCTTCCATATGGACAATTCAACTACACGTAGAAAAACCAAATAGATTTTCACGTGAAATCTATGTAAATTCACAATGCATCCACAATGCATCCACAATGAATCAATATGGAAGTCCACATAAAAAATTTATGTGGAAATCTACATGGATCCTTGAGATTCAGAGGAGAGCCTTTTAGTGAATATCGAGGGAGTGATGATACAATTTGGAGACCGCTCGAGATAAGTCGATCATTATTTAATGCTCATGGGAAGTTTTATCATATACACATATACTTATGTATATACAGATCGGGATGTATATACATACTAAATACTCTTTTTAATAATTGTTAATTCCATAAATATAATACAAATTTTAACAAAGCATCTGCATCAAAACTGTTGTATTTATGTTAGAATTATCTGACTATACTTATTTTAACTCGTAAGATCAATCGGTTTCACGTTATCCACCTAATAATACAAAAACTATTTTTTGTATTGACATAATCAACATTCTTTGCACAAATAATGATAACTTAAAAAAGTATGGGTAAGGTATGATCAAAATGTTAGAGAAGTTTAAGTTTTTTCAAAAGTTTTTGTATTTTAAGAAGGCCCAACACCCACATATAGTCAAGATAACAGCAGTGGAAGTACGTGACCATAGAAAATGAATACGTAAGTAGCTGTATAGTTTAGAGAGAAATTATTTTTTCAATCACATGTACAATATTTTATAAATTGAAATCTTAAGGTAAAAAAATACATTTTTATGTTATATTCTTAGTTTTTTTAAAAGCAATTCAGCGTGTCACGCATTTCGCAGACGACGCTCTAACCTTCATTTTTTCTTTGTGTCAGCTTCAGGGGGAAATATCTAAACAAAATTCGCAGCAACCTTTATCTTTCTTACGTTTTATTGACAGAGCATTATTTCAAATATAAGTCACTAGGTTTTTGATAATGCGTAAGGTGATTTGTGTAAGTTATAATACAACTTCTGGTGGAAAAACGACCCCTCCCCGTAAGAGTCTATGCATAAGACGCTCACTTAAGGAGGTTTGGGAGAAAAGTTAAAAATGGAAAAATGTGCCAAAAAAAATGTATGTTATATTGGAGCATGTTAAGAGTGCACATGAATTTTTTCAGATTTCTCACCAGGGGAAATTTTCGAGAAAAAAATTATGAAATATTGACAGTTTAACACGGTTTCTTATGAGAGAACAAGGTTAGGTTTGCCTTTTAATTGAAATTAAGGTATAATCTAAATGTGATGGAATGAAAAAAAACGTTTTCATAGATAATATGGTATAAAAAGAAGATGCTCGACAAAAAAAATCAAGCCTTGCCAGGCATTTTTCAAAAATATAATCAATTAAAGTCGTACAGTTTCAAGTTTGTAGAGTGCAAGAGGAGGTGCGCGGTAAAGGGGGTACATCTGCGTGGGCAGGGGGGACTCCCTGTTCCTCGCCGCTCTGAATGATACTCCCAAACCTCCTTAAAACGTATTTTACTCAAAATTTTCCGCAGCAAACCATACCCTAATTTTGTACAATGATATAATGCATATTTTTGAATCATAGATTTTAATTTCATCTGTTTTTAAAGTACTTCGATGTACGTGTTGAGCCTCTTTAAATCCCACTATAAAATAGAAAACTTGACATTTTAAAATTGATTTCATGACTTTGCATGTCTAACGTTGTATTGTTTAAAACTGTTTTTGTTTTTCATTGTGTAGTATAGTAAAAATTAATCTGATAAACTGTTGTATGAATTTAAAAAAAAGGATATTGTAATTTTACATTATAAATGTGTAAACGATTTGCAATTAATTTAATGATGTATTTTATATGATAACAAATAATGCTTAGGTAAGGTTATAATTTTTATTTAAAGGCGACATAAGTACAAGAAGGAAAAATCCACAATTCGATTAAAAATTTTTTGTTTTTTTTGTTTTTTTGTTCAGCATGTACGATTTATGATCTCAACAAGTTTGTTATTGATTACTGTTGAATAGAATGAATAGTTTGTGTAACTTTGCCTTCTACTTTTATTAAAGATAGTTTTTATGAAGTTTTCTACACTTTTACTCTATAATTTTCAGAATACTTTATTTTTACTGGTATTTTTTACGAACAAGTTTTTTTTCAAATAAAAATTTTATAATTGCAATTTGAAATTGTAACTACGTTCATTTAATAAGTATATCTTAAACATCAAATACTTGTAGAAACAAATGAACCAAGTATCATATTTTGCGTGAATATAAAAAAGAAACCTCTAATACGGCTTATGAATTATACTTTTGAACTCTGAACACTTTAATTTTCCTAAATATTTTATATAAGTGCTTAAAACATTCATTCTTTACTCCAACATTTATATGCTTCCATCATTGTTTATAAGGCCTGATAAAATCACTGAGTCATCGTATTTAAAACAATTAAAAAGTAAAAATGTAATTATAGGAAGGAGTAAAAATACAGCTTGGTAAAAGTTGTTTCAGTTGGGTAGAAGAGTCCTGTAATGTTGCTGCATTCCACGATTACTATGGATCACGTTATTTATATAGGGAAAATTACGATAAAAATTACAGAATCTTTCTGTCAATGTACTTAGGAAATACCTACAAAATTTTTTATTGAGTGTTATTAATATTTTAGAGCATTAGTATGACTAAATAACAGTAGTTTTCATCCACGATTAATTTTATAAATTAATTTTATTAATTTTATAGTTAAGTTTTTAAACTTGACATATGATAAATACGATGAAACTGCTAATCTTTTATCTTCCATTTTTCCCAGGAGTAGTAACTTAATATTTTATCTCGAGGCACTCACATTAATGTTGTGGCACATTTCTATCTTTAAAAATTTATAGCCAATACTTTTATCTTGAAAATTTCTTGTCAATGTACTAACCCAATTGTAACATTTTATTAAAAGTTAATTGTTAATTCAAAGTAGTACATAGTTTATAAAAAAATGTTTTTCTGATTTTAGAGACGTTTGATTATATTTTGATAGTAAAAAAAGTATAAAAGAAAAGACATTTGTAGATCTAAGTTTTGAGTCATCAAATCTTCATTTTGTACTTTTCGTCTTCAAAAAACCATTGCTGGTTATCTTCAGCCAGTTTCTTCCAGTATCCTGTAAACATTTACAAAAGTAAAAGACAATCAAATGATACTTTAACAAAGTTAATAAGCTCTTTTTCTTAATAGTCTTGTCAAATCAGTATCTTACTTGTCAATAACTCATAATTTTCCTCAGTACCACCAAGTTCATAGGGCAGTACACCCATTGAAATCTTCTTTATTATCATACGACCATCCCCCTGATGTACGTGCATGCGTTCCTTGAGCTTCTTACTCATAAACTGCTTAAACATGTTCAAAACTAAATTGACGTGAGTCGGAGCGTTTACATAGTCGATGGAGCGAATCCGAATGGGATAACTTTGCCAGAGATCGACAAGCCGACTAATTATCGTTGGAGTTATCTGTAGAGCATGTCCAAGCTGAACACCTGTCATGTCGTGTATCGCAACGATACCATATAGCGATGAGCTTACATGGTCACGTACGGCCAAATCCAACAGCATCATACTGACCTAAGTATGCATTTATGTAAAAAATAAGATACCATTTAATATGATGAAGAATTAATGAAGGGAAATCAATAGTCACAAGAGTACAGTCATAGTTAGCAGTACAGTTGTACGCAGAGACAGATTGAAATGAATCAACCATTCTCTAGAAATAAAATTTTCATGCCAGTCGCTTAGAAAGTAAATATTCCTAGACAGTAGGGCATGGAAAGTCGCATACAACATACGATCCTAAGTTAATACGCCTCATTTGGTCCGTTTGTCATCCTTGGCTTTGCTTCGGAGAGACAATATTTGGACGATGCGAAACTTTTATTTTCCAGCCTGGCATCATTATATACTATTCAGTTTTATTAGCCAATATGATTGAAAACATTATTTATTAACATATCAATGGGATCATTGAATTAACGCATTCCATGTTTTAAGGAGATTTCAGCGCCCAAGTGTCAAAAAACTAGATGTATACTATTCAGAAGTGGAAATTTCGCTGAATTTTGGGATGCCGTTTTTTTATACCGGTCAAAATTTAGAGATATTCGAACTTAAAGTTTTCTCTTTTAACGTGGCTTATACTTATTTACAAAATCACGTGTGAAATTTATAAGGGATAGAACATTCGGATCTAAAATGTTATATTGGCATTCCCGAGATCCAACCGAACAATTTTCTCGTTGAAAGTTTTCCAATAAGTTGATGATAAATGACTTTATTTTAAATACAAAGGTGCTCGGATTTTTACAGTGAAAAAAGGCACATATTTATAAACGTGTAGTAAAGTACTGACCGAGCACAGAGCCCATCTCTTCGATTTGATTAATGTGATACCAGCTGGAGCCTCCTTGAGTTAAATACACTGTCGGAAAAGATTATCATGATGACTTGAGGGTCAGTGCCTAAGCACACGATCAGTAAGAGCTAATTTCGGGAGTACGAATGAAAACTCCAAAAACTCAGGTGTTAGTTTGAGTAACGTTTCGTTAGTCTTAACGCCAACCTCATCAGGCTCACTTTATTAACAAAGAAAACAAAAACAAAAAACACAACAATTTTTGTAAATTAAATTTTAGGGCCACTGTTTATAAATATTAGTAATAGATACTCACGTCTATATCGGTAAGACGATCGTTACAGACTGCTGGTCACCTATATAAACAATAAATGTACGTTTCTTGCAAAAATAGACAACGTATGTACGTATTTGAAAGATATTACTTATAAGAACTTTATATATGTTATTGAGAAATAAGGTATCCTCTTTTTTATTTATTGTTTGCTTAGTCGAGTGTACGTGTAGCATTTTTGATATTAATCTTTTTTGTCTATTTGGTTCATGATCTAGTATTTTGGTTTGAGAAAAATTAAAATTATGGTTGAATTCTTTCATGTGTGAAGCGACAACAAGTTCATCTTTCTTTGTATCCCTTACAACCCGTTATTTTTCAAATTTTGTTCAAAAAATGTGAAAAAATGAAATACACAATTTTACCCTACTATTCGACACAAATTGGACAGTGTTATCATTCTTGGAAAGGATAAAATTGATAGGTCGATCAAACCAATGTCGTGTATCATTTCTCTTGCGATTCTTGCTCTGCATCATATGTAGGTGAGACAAAGAGAGGATTGAAAAAACGGCTAAACGAACACAAAAGTACAAAGAAAAATGAAACTGTTGTCGCTTCACACATGAAAGAATTCAACCATAACTTTAATTTTTCTCAAATCAAAATACTAGATCATGAACCAAATAGACAAAAAAGATTAAGATCAGAAATGCTACACGTACACTCGACTAAGCAAACAATAAATAAAAAGAGGATACCTTATTTCACAATAACATATATAGTTCTTAGAAGTAATATCTTTTAAATACGTACACACGTTATCTACATTCGCAAGAAACGTACATTTATTGTTTATATGTATATGCAGAAATACATACATGTTCGACACTTACGTTATTCGTTTAAGGTGACCAACAGTCTGTAACGATCGTCTTAACGATATAGACGTGAATATCTATTATTAATATTTATAAACAGTGGCCCTAAAATGTAATTTACAAAAATTGTTGTGTTTTTTGTTTTTGTTTTCTTTGTTAATAAAGTGAGCCTGATGAGGTTGGCGTTAAGATTAACGAAACGTTGCTCAAACTAACACCTGATTTTTTGGAGTTTTCATTCGTACTCCCAAAATTAGCTCTTACTGATCGTGTGCTTAGGCACTGACCCTCAAGTCATCATGGAAACAATTGAGAGCAGAACGACATGTTCAACAAACGATATAAGGAAAAGATTATCACTATTCCAGTCTGTTTAGTAACTGCTCATAAATATAGATTTAAATACGAGCAAATTCATAGTTAACCAATGGAGAGTTTATAAATGATTACAAAAAGGCTAGGAACAAAAATAAATGAATGTTTACTCGATCAAAGCCCTTTGTAAAAAGTATTTATAAAAGTATAAATCATTGCTCGAACGTAAGTAATACAATTAAAAAACAACGACATTTAACGCTTGGAAAGATTAAATACAAGATGCAACAAACATTTTTGTTCATAAATACATGTGCATGTATACATTGAGTACATCATACATCGAACAAAAGGATAATATTTTTTGAAATCATATTTTAGTAATTATAATCAATTATTCCTAAAATTTTAGTTAGTGCCAATCACGAAGAATAAGTTCTTATGTATCTTACTAATATATAAAGCAAAGTCGCTAAAACCGTTGTAACCGCTAACCACGAAAACTACTGAACCGATTTAGCTGAAATTTTGCATACTGATTCATGATAATTCCAAAATGTTTTCACATATTTTTTTCTTAAAAAGTTAATAACAATAGCGATAAACAATCTCAAAGTTTTGCTAAAATTAGGTAGTTTTGCGCTTTAGTTCACTAGGATCCGCTAAGTGGCGTCGGGGTAAAATTGAAGCCACGCGCAATCAAAGATAGTGAAGAGTGGTTATAAGATGCCGCATCGAGATGTCGATGGTCGTAGCTGTTTATCGGCAGTACACAAAGCACAGAGGTGTTAGTTGTGCAGCTGGGCATCCAGGCTATGGATGACACCCTTTTTTTATGGGTTAGTGAAATAAATCGCTTTTTACCCCGGATCGCTGAAATAACTGAGTGCCACGGAAAAATAGGCGTTTGGAACGTCAACGTCAACGACTCCAGCGGAGCATTAAAAGACGCATCTTGCTAGAGCACAACCTGCTCCAATATTTCAGAGCTTTGTGGCCGTTTAACCATCTGGCCTCGTGCCGTCGAACAATTTTCTACTTTAAATGCAAGCCAGGGAAGACAGCCCTGAAGAGTACGAGCAGCCACAACGGCTGCCTTCTTCGTGGCCATCCTGAGGGCATAAATACAGAGAAGGTATTCTCCAGGCCCACTTTTTTGACTGATGACGTTCAGCGGTTGGTTATCCGGGAAACGGCCCGAAGACGAGATATTCTTTGATCAGTGGCGTACCTCCCTCCGTCATGGTCTCCGTACACAGAGACTTCGAGGGTAAGAATCCAGATACCCGCAACCAACTCTCCATCATCAAGAATAATGATAAGGAATAGCTAGAAGTTTCACTACTGGCCCTTTTCAGGGCCACTTTAAGTATTAACGTTCCCTACTTAACCATAAATCTCATCGGTTCTTTTAAAGGCCACCTAAATTTTAACTATCTCACCAACAAATGTATTTGTACTACCAATTCCGAAAACAATTTTTCGACTAAAAAACTATGTAAAGCCGGCCACTATTAAACCAAGTCAGTCATTCACTGGCAGATGTCACGAGCGGAGTTGTTCGTCACAAGGATGGGAAACCAGGAATCATCGACCCTCTCCAAGTCCAACGGGCAAGCATCACGAATAGTAGGATAGAATTAGCTTTTTGAAAAATTAAATTGCTATTGAATCATGGTGGTAGTTATTCTGTTTCTGAACAAATCTTAATAGTCTTAGACTTTAAATTCTGTCAGATAATGGCCCAAAAAAATGGTAAATGTGGTAAAAAATGGTTTTTCGGGTCTAGAAAAAAACTGGAGAGTAGGAAAAAAAAGTTTTGCTGTTAAAAAAGGTGCGAAATTTCAAGACGAAGAAAACGAGCTTCAGGAGAATAAAATTGGCACATCCGTTTTTTCGCAATTAGCCAAAAAGTGCTCTTTTGGACCGTTTTTTTTAAAATCTAAAACTAACTTTCATTAAAATATTAAGACTTGAAAATTAAATACAAGGTAGATCTTGTGCCCCTTAATATCCACACTAACTTTCAATAATATCGGTTGTAAACTTTTTGCAAACTGCTGCAAGAAGCAAAAAATGGTCCCTCCGCAAAAAAGTTGGATATGGCTGGTTTTTCAACATATTGCCATTTTTCAAATGGCATAGTACTAGTCGAGAATTGTTCTACAACCTACCAAAACGTCGTACTGTTCGACATTCCGGAAGTACGCGAAAAATCGATGTCAAAAAGCAGCTATTTTCCGTGGATGCGGCGGCGCGGCAAGCCGCTGACGTAGGCCATACCCCCTCTCTGCATCATAGCTGTGGAGTTTGCGAGATGTATTACAACCTAATAAAGTTGAAAAAAATAGCATTCAGGGCTCACAGAAGTCTTAACTATGCCAAAAGTTGCAAGAAGTCGAATTGGAAGGAAAACTTTAAATGCATCTAATGAATACACTTTTAGGCGACAAGAATGTCACGTTGAACATTTATCGAGATTAAAGCAGCATCAAAATCGATAAATAAAGAATTCATAAGGTGAGGGATCAGCTTTTCACTATAACCCTCATAGTCATCTCTTGAATCTTCCAGATTCTTAAATGGGCATAATATGTATTTATATTTTTGTGGCAATAAAAAATGTAGAGATTAGGCTTCAGGACTTTGATACTGTGGTATTATAGTTGTGAGATAGAAGAAAAAAAATTTTTTTTAATAGGTTTTTTGTGAGTTTTAAATCTTCACAGCTTTAAAAAATAGCCCTAACTGTAATTATACGGGAGAAACTGCAAACCAACGGCCTTTTCTGGCCAACGATTATTTTATGGCTTAAGGAATGCTCGGTACTTTTCAGCATAGTTATATTCTTCTCACTTTTTACATCTTTTTACTTTCACTTGACCAAATAAACTGTATGGATTCCAAACAAACATGATTTTAATAAGAAGATTTTTGTTCTGAGAAGTATCCGAAATAGATGTAAAATTTTTAACTGAAAACATTTTACATTACATGTCAACACACTGCGGTGTTCCATTTAGTAATTCTCGGGCGAAGCCGAGACGGGGGGCGCTAGTATTTATACATGAGGAAATTCACAAAAAATATCCTGTTTTTGTCCCCCATTTTAATTAAAAAAATTTTTTCGAGGCACACCTTCGAGATTATAGGGCTTATTTTACTCGTAATCCCATGTACTATCAGGGAAAAATTTTGAATAAGGATTTTATTTAGAGTGACACCCTTTTTCCGTGTTTTACATTATAAAATTGAATCTATAGCTATCATATGTATGGATATAGTTTTAACATATAAATCACGGAAAAAGGGTGTCATCCTCACTAAACCTCGTGTTAAAAATTTTTCTTCATAGTTCACGGCATTAAGAGTAAAATGAGCCCTATTTCGAAGGTATGTCTTAAAAAAAAATTTTTTATTAAAATGAAGGACAAAAACGAGATATTTTCTGTGGATTTCGTCATATACATGGTATATATATTATTATATTCATATACTATTCATACATTCATAAATTAACTTACGCACACACATGCGTGCGAGCGCATATGTATACACAATATTTTCACTTTGTTTATAGTTAGTTACAGTCAAGTCGACTAATATATTTCACTAATATTGAGACTTTTGATCTGAGCTGAATAGAGAGATTACACTATATTGAGTTTTTTATACCATGATTATAGTTGCAAAGAAAGTACAAAAGTATGAAATACTTGATCATAATTCTGCAATAATTATAAAATATATGGTTTTAACTTACCTTCAAGAAATCCGACAGTTTATGTTTTTTGGGATCGTGTACGCAAGCTCGTACAATAACGATCAATCTACCCTCTTCGTCGACTTGTCGTAAGGGCAGAAAAATGCTGAAATTGTCAATAATTTAAAAAAAATTTTTAACTTATTTGTCATTTGATGTATCAATTACATTTCATTCACAATATACTGCACCCAAGATCAAGGAGCTCCTGCAATTCTGGAAAAAACGGATCCCTGTTGGTAAACCATTCGGGTGACACTGCTCTCTGCTCGTGATACTTTCTTAATTTGAGCTTCGCTTTGTCAACGTCAAATTTGCAGCTACGCAAAAACCGTACGATAAAAAATTTATCTGTAAGCAATAAAATAAGAGGTCAATAAATTGTGCAAGCACTATATACACATGGAAACGTCTTTTCTGCATATCTTTATGTAAATTTGACAAAAGATAATGTCTTACGATGCACGAAAATTTTCTTTTTCAAGAAAAATAATGAACTTATACGAGTATTTAATAATTTAAGAATAAAAATGTAATCATGCATCTGACCGATAAATAAATAACAGATTACCTTGTCTTCTGTAGTCAAGGCTAAGTAGGTAATTATTATTTTTGCACATTATATTAAAAAGAAAAGACCGTCCCAAATAAATTCTATTTGCCTTTATTATGATATTGAGAATTTCGAAATTTCTACGTTGAAACTTAGTGTAACTTAGTCTAGTTAAGTGTATTAGAGGGAGCTCAAAACAATCAAAAAGTTTTCTTACAGTTTATTTTCTATTTGTTTTTATGTATGTCTATCTCATCAGCTAAAGAATATCGGTCAAATATGTATACATCTCTTTGCTAAAGACATACATTTTGATAGACTTATTTTTAAAATTCAAATTTATCCTCAAACATAAAAATTTTTTTTTGAACTTGAACAAATTAACTTTACTTTTAATATTTAAAATTATTTGTTACGCATGTCTTATTCCAAGTTTTATCGGGTTTTTCATTCAACGGATAAGAAATTTTTGACAAGTATCACTAACAAAGTTACAATAGAAAAAATATAGAACTTTTTTTAATAATACTAGTCTAATTTTTCAAAAACATAGTTGTAAAAATTTTTTCAAAAAGTATGAAACTCCGACATTCTAAAGGAAACATAATTTTTGCGATCTGCCATATATGATTAAAAATACCATTGTTTATGAACGACAATTTTAGTACAACCTGTCCTTGTATGCCGATCATCGTTACTTTTCACCCAATTCAGAACTTGCTCTATGCACTTATCGCGTTCCACATCAAACTCATTTAAGTAAGTCGCGGCAAAATCCTTCTGCTGCTTTGTCAGCTCCAATAGATGATCGGTATATATATTATTATATTCATATACTATTCATACATTCATAAATTAACTTACGCACACACATGCGTGCGAGCGCATATGTATACACAATATTTTCACTTTGTTTATAGTTAGTTACAGTCAAGTCGACTAATATATTTCACTAATATTGAGACTTTTGATCTGAGCTGAATAGAGAGATTACACTATATTGAGTTTTTTATACCATGATTATAGTTGCAAAGAAAGTACAAAAGTATGAAATACTTGATCATAATTCTGCAATAATTATAAAATATATGGTTTTAACTTACCTTCAAGAAATCCGACAGTTTATGTTTTTTGGGATCGTGTACGCAAGCTCGTACAATAACGATCAATCTACCCTCTTCGTCGACTTGTCGTAAGGGCAGAAAAATGCTGAAATTGTCAATAATTTAAAAAAAATTTTTAACTTATTTGTCATTTGATGTATCAATTACATTTCATTCACAATATACTGCACCCAAGATCAAGGAGCTCCTGCAATTCTGGAAAAAACGGATCCCTGTTGGTAAACCATTCGGGTGACACTGCTCTCTGCTCGTGATACTTTCTTAATTTGAGCTTCGCTTTGTCAACGTCAAATTTGCAGCTACGCAAAAACCGTACGATAAAAAATTTATCTGTAAGCAATAAAATAAGAGGTCAATAAATTGTGCAAGCACTATATACACATGGAAACGTCTTTTCTGCATATCTTTATGTAAATTTGACAAAAGATAATGTCTTACGATGCACGAAAATTTTCTTTTTCAAGAAAAATAATGAACTTATACGAGTATTTAATAATTTAAGAATAAAAATGTAATCATGCATCTGACCGATAAATAAATAACAGATTACCTTGTCTTCTGTAGTCAAGGCTAAGTAGGTAATTATTATTTTTGCACATTATATTAAAAAGAAAAGACCGTCCCAAATAAATTCTATTTGCCTTTATTATGATATTGAGAATTTCGAAATTTCTACGTTGAAACTTAGTGTAACTTAGTCTAGTTAAGTGTATTAGAGGGAGCTCAAAACAATCAAAAAGTTTTCTTACAGTTTATTTTCTATTTGTTTTTATGTATGTCTATCTCATCAGCTAAAGAATATCGGTCAAATATGTATACATCTCTTTGCTAAAGACATACATTTTGATAGACTTATTTTTAAAATTCAAATTTATCCTCAAACATAAAAATTTTTTTTTGAACTTGAACAAATTAACTTTACTTTTAATATTTAAAATTATTTGTTACGCATGTCTTATTCCAAGTTTTATCGGGTTTTTCATTCAACGGATAAGAAATTTTTGACAAGTATCACTAACAAAGTTACAATAGAAAAAATATAGAACTTTTTTTAATAATACTAGTCTAATTTTTCAAAAACATAGTTGTAAAAATTTTTTCAAAAAGTATGAAACTCCGACATTCTAAAGGAAACATAATTTTTGCGATCTGCCATATATGATTAAAAATACCATTGTTTATGAACGACAATTTTAGTACAACCTGTCCTTGTATGCCGATCATCGTTACTTTTCACCCAATTCAGAACTTGCTCTATGCACTTATCGCGTTCCACATCAAACTCATTTAAGTAAGTCGCGGCAAAATCCTTCTGCTGCTTTGTCAGCTCCAATAGATGATCCATATTTTCTTCTGACATTACGTTAAATACTCCGTATGTATCAAACAGTTATTTGTTTACATTTGGCCTGTTATTAAGGCAAGGTTTTGAATAAAAAATTTGCCTTAACTAACGAACTATCTCTGAAAATTGGTATTTGTACGTTAATACATTTGATCGTTATTCTATTAATTAAGCCATTCTATTTCACAAAAACAGGCTAAGTTTATAACTCAACTACAGCACTCACAAACAATCATAATGTATCACGATCATTTTAGAACTGTGCGATTATCCCAGCTCTGACACTTACCAATGCTGATATAGCTGAAGTCATATACATCATGTACACGACCATCGCGACAAGAGCGCCTGCATACAGGAAACTCTTAAAACAGGCATAGTATTTGCGTGTATACCATTGACTGATAAAACAGTGGATGATGTTGAGTTTTTGCTCCTTAAAGAAGTACCTATAACGTCTTATCTGCTTAGTAGAGTTCACTCCTGGGCCATTGAAACATTGTGGTATTGTATTCGCTTCTAGATCATTAAAACGTACTGTTGAGTTTGCTCCTGTGTAGTAAAGTGTCGTAGTTTAGCTAAGAAAATAAAAAGTTCTGACTAAATTAATGTAGGGAATCCATCGCCACTAACCAATCAAACTTTTCTTGAATTTAAAATGTATTATACATTAAATTTTTGTATGTTATCGAAAAAATTTTTAAGTTAATGTATCGATACTAGTTTTCAAGATATTTGAGTTTGAAGTATATTTTTTAACATGAGCTGTAATATATAACAGCAATAACAGCTTTATGGATAAGTATTTTAATATAATGTTTTACACATCAAACCCTAACTTATCCCAGTTCTTTGAAAAATTGAAGGAAGTTCAAATGGAAGTTTACATTAAAATGGGTTGTAACAAAATAACTTTTAAAAGTTTTACGAAAAAAAATTTTTTTTACAAGTAAAAAAGATTCAAATGGTTGTTCTACACAATATGAATTATATATTTAGGCAGTTTCGAAAAAATGTTTATCATAAAAATCNCTAGATCGCATGACGTTACTATAATATGTATAGATAAGTGCGCGAGTAACAAAAAGTTATAAGATAAGCGAGAAGAGGAGAGAGATTTTTCAGACAATTTTTAATCTTGATTTAACTAAGGGGGCTCCTTCACAAAAGTCCTCAAAAAGAGATATACATAAGAGAGAAATTTTTTATTAATTTTATAGTAAATACCCATAAAAATTACCGTGCAGAACGGTAAACGTGGGACTACGTCGTCATTCCGGATTTTTTACGTAACTTCAACAATTTTTACCGTTACGCCCAGTAAAAATCATCGGGCGCCCAATAAAAATTCCCCTTACGACTCACGAGCAAATGTTCACGGTAGATAAAATACAGACCGTAGTTGAATTGCATTGTACCTGAAGCAATAAAATTATTGTAGTATCATACATTCTTTAAAAATATTATGTATATCGGACATTTTGATTGCAATGTCAAATCAGTTTAGCTTAAAAATCTTTACATAAATATAATTGATACATTACAATTATCGTAAAGAAATAATTATTTATACCGGTACAATATCTAACCGGTTACATTATTAAGTATATACATTCTTTAAAAATATTATGTATATCGGACAGTCCGCTTGCAATGTCAAATAAGTTTAGCTTAAAAATCTTTACATAAATTTAATTGATACATTTCAACTATTGTAAAGAAATATTTATTTATACCGGTACAATATCTAACCGGTTACATTAATAAAAAGAAAAAAAAAATGACAACAGTGATAGCGTACTACAATCAAGTAGTTAAAAAAAAAACATTTTTTGTCGCATCTTATACTGGCAACAAATACGTTAACTGTGGTCTTTGTTTTACCTACAGTGAACTTTGGCTCGTTAGTCGTAAGGGGAATTGTTGTTGGGCGTCCGATGATTTTTACTGGGCGTAACGGTAAAAATTGATAAGGTTAGGTAAAAAGTCTGGAGTGACGACCTAGTCTCACGTTTACCGTTCCGTACAGTAATTTTTATGGGCATTTACGATAAAATTTATAAAAAATTTCTCTCAGTGTATACTAGTTTATGCAAAACAGTTGACAGAAGCACCATGAACTGAAAAAGGTAAGACACAGTAATCTCAGAATAGAAAGGTAAAAACGCTGTGTATACGAATGTTACCGTTGTTAATGAATGAACTTGCATGACTGCATATTTATGACACTTCTCAAGGAGAATCAACTTTTCCGAAGATATTTTAACTAGTTTAACTTTTGTCAATGTCCATCATACAATTTACCTAAATGGATTATCAACAAGCACGTATTATTTTTGAAGTTTGTTTTATTTTATCTCTAGAGTATAAATATTTAAAAATAATATTTGCATGTTCATATTGATATCATTGACATGTTGTAATTTTTTAGAATTTCTCCATGGAGATATAGCCAANTTATTTTTATATAGAACCCATAAAAAAGTTTTCAGCGAAAGAAAAAATGTGTCGGTCAGATTTTGCCTCAATCTGTCTGGTTTGTAAAAGAATTATCCACATAGTAGCTATACAAATAATTGTGTTCTAAAAGTATTACACATACTAGAGTGATTCGTTTGTGTATCTTGTTATTTATAGTGATGCAAGAAGGCTATTTGATCTATACTATTGTGACGATATTATCGAGAAGATAATAGTTTGAACAAATGTGACTATTTATATAAGTAAACTATGCGAGTCCGTGCTCATACCTTGACGGGAGTGGACCGTCTCTTCACACGAGTGCCTTTTAATCGGCTCTTTGAGTGGGCGTATACAGTCACAGTGTTCATTGTGTACACCAGGATCGTCCTGATTCCGGTGCACGTTATCCTTGGCAGGTTCGCGCCGCCTGCTTAGCACTAAGTGTTTATTACACCGACACGATGGCTCAGCGATAGAGTTGCAGTCCCGTCGATCACCGAGGTCAAGCAGCATTTGGCGTGGTTAGTACTTGGATGGGTGACCGTTCAAGTCTTGCCATTTCGCCTCTGCTGTTTGCTTCGTGGATCGACTGACTATTTCTCTGTCTCTTCGACATCGTGAGCGGGAGGTGTGCCAAATTTATGCCTCGTTGTCTGCAGCTTGGACATCATAAATGAGGCCGATACACCGGGCTGTTCCAGATCAGGTTTTTCCTACGGGGGATTTCCCTGGGTTTTCGTGATCCACATGACAAACGTCATGGGAGAATGCGAAGCAGTTGTTAAGGCCCTTCCCCCTTCCGATCCTATCCCAATTATTTCACAATCCCAAGTGCTAAGTGCCGTAAGTAGTGCTTCTACAAGAGAGCCGGACGTAAAAGCACTATAATAAAAAAAGTGTTTATTACTCCTGTGGACGACTCTGCTGTCAGCGGTCGTCAACATAACCTGTAAATGGTTTTAAATGCAGTCAACAGTTTTACCATTACCTTAAGTCCCAGTCAGTTAAATAATTTCTCAGTTGGTACCTAACCCTAACTTCTTAAACACACAAAAACCTAACACCCTAGTCTCCGACAAAGTGGCCGCAAGCAACCAAAGCAACAACAGGACGTCCACAAACAAGAAAATCTATGCTCAAATCGTAAACATAAAGTACCCAGAGACGATGGCTATAGAGCTAGCGAGTTGGCAAACTCAGGTCAGAGAGTACCAGGGAGAAGAGCCTTCAACCAATGAGAGAGCAGATAACTTAATCATAGAATGTATACTTATATACATGCTAAATGCATGCAATAAAACACAGTCCGCAATTGCAGTCTGCTATTTTATGTAAGCATATTTTGTACAGAAACTTTCTGCATACAATTTTTTAATTTTATTTTGCAAGAATGCTTTGTGATTGTGTTGTAAAAGGGTACAAAGAAAAAAAATGACTCAAATTTTCTAAAGAAGCAGAACAACTGTGGCTTCAGGTTATTAATCAGAAAAATCTGTTTCACTGAGTGGATATCTCTCTTTGTCTGCAAAAATCATTTTTCACCAGATGATCTTCGTACTGATGAGAAGTCAGTCTTACGTAAAAAAACGTTTTACGTTCATACGTTTAAGTAGTTTAATTGATGTTTGTACCTAAATTTTTTAATTATAAATTATTAACAGAAGAACCTCTTGAAGCCGCAAGATTAAAATCTTATGCAGTATCTTCTCTCCTATTAAACAACTGCCACCAAGATAATAGAGAATCAGTTAATCAGATTATTAGTCACATACCAAGTAATACTTGTAAAGATATAAGTGCGGATATTTTTGCAGAAGCTTGAAAAGGTTTAGTTCTATATTCATATAGTACATTACATTACTAGGGACGAAAGTCGATCTTTCCTCCCGGCGGAGTAATTGCCGGGAAGGATGATAGACTTTCGTCGCGAGTAATGTATACTATTTTTCTTACTACTTGGTCGAAACTTTGTAGCCGAATCATTCCTACTAGCTAAATTTATGCAAAGCATGCAGGATTTCATCGGCTGTAGAGTAAGTTCAGTAAGGTTGGCAGCACTATCGCTGACAGAGCAGGTCAACAGCTGAGATGACGACTGCACAGATATAATACACAATGCGTCAATTTTACGATCTCTCATTAGTTGTTTACATCGAACTAAAAGCGAAGGGTTTTTGCATTCGCTAACATTTACATCCCGAGCGAAGCGAGGGTCGTTGGTTAACGAATGCACAAAAACCCTGAGCAAAAAAATTACATGATCAAATAAAGAAAATAATTATATTTTGTACTATTTAACATGTTACATATCATTAATTTATATTGATTCATTTGGAAATTTTTCTCCATTCAATTGACTTGACTTAATTTACAGTACTATATTTATATCTTAATAATTTCTTTTACATATCTTATCATATATCTTAAAAGTATTAAAAAAATTTTAAACATGAGTATTGTTACGTACGAACATTAAAAAATTATTCATGTACGTCTGTACTAACTTTCTTAACATGCTAAATGTTTTTTTTTTCTTTTATTTTATCTTTATT